TTGGCAGATCTGTTTTTTTATTATCTTTTCCAGTATCTTTCTGGGTATTGATGTTAGGCTGATTGATCTGTAGTTTCCTGGGTCTGTTTCCCCTCCCCCCCTTTTTTTGAAAATGGGAACCACATCAGCTCTTTTTCAGTCCTCTGGTACTGTATTTCCCTGGTACTATAGGATTTTTGAAAGATGTGGTACAGTGGTAATGATATGACATCTGTCAGTTCCTTTAGAACTCTGGGTCCATCAGGTCCCAGTGATTTGTATTCATAAAAATCAGACAGATGTTCTCTTACTATTTTTTCCTATTTTACCTTTTATTTCTAGTCTGTCTTTTACAGTTATGTTTTTAGTAGTTTGAACTATAGTTTCTTTTTGGGTGAACACCAATGCAAAGAATGAGTTTAGCAACTCTCTGTTGCCTGTTACTTCCTTGCCATCTTCTCTCTTTAGTGAACAGACTGTTTCCTTGATTTTTTTTCTTCTTGTTAATATGTTGGAAGAATTTTTTAAAATTATCTTTGACTTTTGTTGCAAGTCTTTTTATGAACATTTTTGAGCCTTTGTTTTCCTGACTTCATCTTTGCAGATTCTGGCTATCTGCTGATATTCTGACTTAGTTGTGTGTCCCTCTTTCCATTTTTTGTACTTGTCCTTTTTGTCTTTCAATTTGTCAGAGAAATCTTTGTGCAGCCATGCTAGTTTCTTCTTGGATTTTTTCTTTTTCTTTTTCAATAGTATTGTGTTGGTCTGAGCTTTTATGATCTTTTTAATCAGAGTTTCCCAAGCTACTTGAGTTGTTTTCCTTGAATTTTCATCCAAGGAATCTTTATCTGTAATTCCAACTATATCATATCTACCTTCATGTATTAATAGTTCAAGTTCACCAGTTTGTTCCCCAAACTTTGTGCATTTCATATAGCCACTTGAGATCTTTATGTCTGACTCTGGATATACTTCCTATGTCTCCTATTTGGTATATGAGTTTGTCTTCCTTCGCATCCCTCCTTACCTTATTATTCGACTTGTTTTCTAGGTGTTTTTGCTAGGAATTAGGTCCTGGAGATCCTAAAGATTGGTCACTCTCCCTCCTCAATTTTCCTTTAAATCCCTCCAGATAAGTTGAGCAAGTCTTTCTCAGAAATCATTCTTCCCAGTCTTTGTGAGGTGCAGCCCATTGCTTGCCAAAAATGGAGGTAGTGCAGATCATGGTCCAGGAATCCAAAGGTTTTTTGGAGATACCAACTCTTTAACCAGTAATTCACTTCTAGAATCCTTTATTCTTTTACTGGATGTTGACCTTTCGTTGGCAGTACAGATGAAAAAACTACTTGTGCATCTAATTCCTTAACTTTCTTCCGTAGTTGCTCATAATCAATGTTGTTTTCTAGTCCTTTTTTGTGTCATTCATCCCTACATGTACTAGTAATAAAGGGTAACAATCTATGGGTTTTATTATTTTGGTTAGGTTCTCAGCTATATCCTTGATTTTTGTTCCAGGAAGGCAACATACCTCTCTGGATTGACTGTCTGATCTACAGATGGCTGATCCTGTTCCCTTGAGAATTGAATCTTCTATCACCAACATTCACCTTTTTTCCCCGAGGGTGGTTTGGGATATTCTTCTATAATAGAGACATTTTATGGTGCTACTTTTTAAAGGATCTTTGATGATGCTTCTTTTCTAGATGTCTGCATGTTTTCTTCCAGGGAGAGTCCATCAAATCTCATCAGAATGGGTTGGGTTGGACATGGGTTTTGTACTAGGTTTGTGTTTTTTTCTAAGAGTGATATGTCTCCACCTGTCTTCTTCTTCTAAGGGAACAATTCTTTCAGAAGTTGTTTGATAATTATTATGTTCAATTTGGGCATATTCTTTTTGCAAAGTTTGGAATTTTCTTTGTAGGTTGAATTTCAGAGTGGTTAAAGCTTCCTCTAGACACTTTACTTTTTCTTCTAGTAACTTGATTAGTTTACATTTGGTAGATACAATATATAGTTTGGGCCTTCTGTGGGCAGAAATATATACATGTTCCATATAGCACAGTAGCAATAGCCCTTAGACTTATATACTGCTTTACAGCCCTCTCTAAGTGGTTTACAAAGTCAGTATATTGCCCCCAACAATTGGATCCTCATTTTACCCACCATGGAAGGATGGAAGGATGAGTCAACCTTGAGCCAGGTGAGATTTGAACTGCTAAATTGCAGGCAGACAGCAGTCAGCAGAAGTAGCCTGCAGTACAACAGTATCAGTTTCTTTTTCCATGATTGGATTAAAAAAATTGAAAATGAAAATGCAGAAGGTTTTAACCCAGATTTTTAAAAGGGAAAGATGTCCAATTTAGAAATTAAAAATTCTAACAGCTCACTTAAAATTTAGGGGAGCTAAATTGTAAATGTTAAGTCTAGATAAAAATGTAAAGTTCTAGCTGTTAAAAAAATGTCCAGTTTAAAATGTTAAAGTTCTAGCAGATCATTGAAATTGTCTAGTTTTAAAATTTTCAGTATTGAGTGGGCTTAAGTGCACGGTTCATTCTTATCCTATAATGGAATGTTTTATAATTATCCCTTTCTACCCTGCCTTTTTATGATCTTTTCCCTCCTTGCCTTCTGGTGGGCTTTATTTATCCCTTTCTTCTCTACCTTTATGTTTTCCGTACTTGATATTGTCTACCCTGCTTTAATTTTTTTGCCTTGTATTCTGTGTTGTCTTTTTATCCTCTCGTCCTACTTGCTTTTCTCCTGCCACTACCGGATATTCAGCTGTCCCTGCTTTTGCCAGTTCATGGCATTGCTTCCCTCTCATTTGTCTGTTGGTGTGCCATGCTGTTCTGTTGTCATTTGCAGTCAACGGTTCACTGGTTTGCTGGGCTGCAATGCTCCTGCACCACCAATAGCCTCCGATTCCACTGTCATTCTACTGTCACTTTTTATGCTGCTCTCTGCATTGCTCTCAGGCTGTGGTTCTCTGTCCTGCCCCTTGCTGCTGGCCCTCTTATCTGCTGCACTACCGCTGCTTTTTGCTCTGCAGCCATGCGACTCCTGTTTGCTGATCCATGGCACCAGGGTATTGCTTCCCCCAGGAGTAAGCTCACTTGTCCTCTCCTCTCTTCAGCCAGCTCTCCTCCTCCTCCCTGCGCCACTCTTTCACTGGCTGTCCTTTTTGTTCTCTGCTGGTCATTGTGCTGCCCTCAGTCGGTTCACCTCTCTGCCCCACAGATGACTTTCCTCCCTGTTCCACAGCTGGCCCCACTCACTCACTGGCTCGTCTCCTTGTTCTCTGATGGTTCATTTTGCCTCTCCATTCATCTCACTTCAATTGGCCTCCGGTCTCTTGGGTAGAGGCCTCTTGGGTGCAGCTGGACCTCTCTCAGCAGGCCAAGTTCCCTTGGTGGCGTTTTTCTCCTAATTCTTCAATCTTTCCTCTCCTTTTCCTTTCTCCAATCTTTTTTTCTTTTTCTATGACTTACCTTTTCCTCTCCACCTCTCCTACCATTTTATCTCAGTTTAATAGCAACTTGGAGACCTGGTGAGAGCTGGCATTTCCATAGGCTATTGCTAAAACAATTCCTGTGTTAAATAACTACATTCAAAGAACAATACTGGCATGATCATAATTTGGGTGAAATACAATTTGTTTGTATTATTTGTATTTGTTGCATATTAGCTTATTTTAAGTACATAAACAGTATTCTAGGAAATAAATTTTGATTCAAAAGTTGGCAAAGGAAATTCACCCGGTAATTTTGCCAAATTATTAAAAGGAACTCTACATTGGCAACAGGAAGGTCATTCGGCCAGTAAACACTCAGCTCCATTCAGTTGCCTCAACTCCACCCTGATGTAAGGGATTATGGGGTCAAAATTAAAAAGGAACTTTCACATTAGTTTTCCTTTTTGAAAGAAGAATAAGGTTTAATGTCTATGGAGACTCTCGGTCATCCAGGTCTTGGTTGGCCCAAAGATGCTTTTTCAAGAGGCAACTGGACTTTTGGTTCTTTTCTTTGAATATTTTTTGCTTCTCATCCAAAAAGCTTATTCAGCTCTGACTGGATGGTGAGGAATGGTTTGATAAGATTTGACATTCATATTGTCATCCCTGGATCTATCTTTGGACAGACTTTACAGGGCTGCCACAGTGGGGGATGGGTGAGCTGTGGGAACGGGAGAGTAGTGAAAGGAGTATAGCAGTGGTGGGTTGCTGCTGGTTTGGCCCGATCCGGGTGAACCAATAGTGGAATTCAGGCCTGGGATGTAGAACCAGCAGCGGCTCAGGCCTGCCATGCCCCTTAACCAGTTCCCTCACTACTGCTTGGATTTTAGTGCCACCATTTTGGATTTTATTGACTATGCATACATGCACAGTGCGTGTCTGGAACGGATGTGCAAGAGCCACGAACATGCACACATTGTGCGACCCACCCCTGGAGTATAGTCATAACAACATTCTTTCACATGAGATCAAGGACGGGCTGCTAGCACCTGGAGAGGAGTGACCAAAGTTTGGCAGCAGCTGAGAAAGGAGATTGATTTAGCCATGTGATGTGAATGTCACTGGACAGGGCAGGGTGTGAGTTTTAGTGTAGGTGAGGGAAAACACGGGATTTCAGATTTGGGTTTTCCCCAGATGTGCCAAAATGACTTCTTTAATAAAATATTACTCTGATGGACTTTGTCTCAAAGTTCTGAATTACACTGAAGAGTTGGAACACTGACACATACTTTTGTATTAAAAACACACAATATTATTTTGACATGCTACACGATAACAATAATTTCACCCAGTACAAAATTGATAATCCACATTTATATTGACTTACGTGTTCTGTCTTTCCATACTTCTGACTCTGAGATTTTCCCAGCGTGAATTTAGAAGATTTATTTGTTCTTGTATTTCATTTTCTTCATCTTCTGAAAGCTTTCCAAATGTTCCCAAAAGTTGGCTGCCTACTTGCAAAATATCACCAACACGTCCTTGGTGAGCAGTTAATTCCATCATAAAACCCTTGGAAAATCATTATAACAATGATTACCAACAAAAAACAAAATATTCATATGGATATTTTACAGATTACATTAAATTTCCAATTTTTATCAAATAAACCAGTTTTTAGAAATTAACAATGTGATTCAAGTGTTTTGTAAAAAGGAAACAAATGAAATAAAAATATCATTCAAATGTTACATTTTTAGTGTCATTCTGTAACCATAGAAAAACAATTAGCAGGGGGTGAAGTTTTTGTGTTAATTATTGAAATAGACATACCTCATGAATGTGAAACTGTTCTTTAACTTCTTCTACATCACTGGAGAGCTCTCCTTGCGCTTGAAATGAATCTTCAGCAGACAGAAGCCATGAGATGACTTCTTCTAATTCAGTTTGGTAGCTTTCTAAGTTTGTTTCTGAACTCGTGGGTGAAGTTGCAAATAACCTCTGTTCTTGACTTTCAAAATGCTGATAAATAAATAATGTATTTAAGGAAAAATTCACTAGTATACTTTCTTCTGGATTAATAAATGAAATGTAGTCATGTTAATTTAATAATTAATAAATCATATGGCATCAGTTTCACCTAAAATTAGATCTAATATACAGATATTCAGATTTTTATTATTTTGTACAAAGGCATTGGAATTGACATTGGGTACAAAGCCATCTCATAAATATTAACAGAAAAAACAGATATTCTTCATGACAGCTTTAGTTATAGGTATGTTTGGTTAAAATTAAAACTCAGACAGCTCAGTTTGTATATTCAGTTACACTATAACTGCATGCAAAGCTACATTAATGCATATAAACATTGTAAATATTTATAAAAGTACAGTTGTAAGTTAAAATACTTCCTCCATTTTTTATATTTTGGTATAATCTACATGCTCACGTGCCAAAAGTGGAGGGAGCGCAGGGGGGTTGTACATGGGCATGCTACACATGTGCATGCTTTCCCCCCCTGCGTGCATGTGCACGTAACCAGCACTCCCCCTGCTTTTGGCATGCTTTTTTCACCCTCCCCAGGCTCCAAAGGCTTTCTAGGAACCTGGGGAGGGCGAAAACAGTCCCCCCAGCGGCCCTCCATAGCCTTTCAGGGAAGCCTCCTGAAGGTTCTGGAGGGCGAAAAATGGCCCTATGAGCAAACCAGAAGTCCATTCCCAAACTTCTAAGTTGTCTGTAGGGCTGGGTTTTTTTGCGCTCTGGGGGCTTCCCTGAAGCCTCTAGAGGGCGGAGAACAGCCTCAAAAGAAGGCCAAAGTCAGCTGGACAGTGTGTGTATGCACGCTGGAGCTGACAAGGCAATGCCCTAACAAATGGTTCTGTGTGCCACCTGTGGCATGCATGCCATAGGTTCGCCATCACGGATCTATGGGATACTGCGAAGGTGTACATGAAGGGAGTCACTATATCATATATGGTGAATAAAAATAAGGAGAAGAAACAGCGACAGAAACATCTAGAAGAATATTAAAGAGCTGAGGGAACATCAAAAAAGGAAGTTGAAGCAACAAATGGACTTAACTAAGCATAAACTGAATATGCTTGAGAAGGAAGAGTTGGCGAGAGACATTAAAAAAAACTAACCAAAATTTCTTTGAAAATGCAAACAAACTATGGAGAGTGTTAGCATAAAAGATGGATTAGTAAACCACAAAATGATGAATGATTTGCTATCAGAATGAGCAGAAAAAGAATATAGTGCAGTAATATTATAAGAAACTGTATGATGATATGGACAGATATTCAGAAGATAAAATAATAAAATGTTTAAAGACAGCCTCGCTGCCTAAAATTTCAACAGAAACAAAAAAATATGTTAAATGAAGAAATAAGGATGCCAGAATTAATTGAGGTAATAAAAAAACAAAAAAATAATAAAGCACCAGGACCGGATGGTTTGCCAGCAGAAATGTATAAAGAGCTGCACAATATGTTAGGAAAAATGTTGCTTGTGATATACAATGCAGTGTTAAATGAGGTAAAAATTCCACTATCATGGGTAGAGGCAGATATTATATTGATTCTGAAAGAAAATACTGATTTAACATTAATTAAAAACTATAGGCCTATCTCATTGATGAATACAGATTATAAAACAGTTATGGTAATAATAGCTGAAAGGCTGAAAAGGTTCATACATGTGGATTAGAAAGACTGTTGGTCTTACCTATGCAGTAGTTCTCTGTGCACTCCATGCACAGAGAACTTCTGCCTATTAGCCCTGAGACTGAATTTAAATGTTTGGACACGCCTCTTTGGCTTGACTGGATTTAGTTTCTAAATGAAGGCGTAGGTCGAAGAATGACACAATGTCCTCAAATGTCTGCCAGAACAGACACTGGACCTGGGTGGGAATGGAGTCTCCCGTAATCTACTGACCAACAGTCTTTCTCCTGTGCACTGCTTGGAGACTTCATGCATAAGATATACCCAAGCATAACTGTGACAGGCTGGTCCAGGGTCCCATCAGCCAAAAGAACACTCTTGTCAGGTGTGCCTACATCAATAACCAAGAAAGAAAACTCCAAACTCCATTGTTCATGGAATTAAAGATACTTTTACTGGTTATGAAAAGATAGCAGCGAAAGAAAAGCAAGATCTGAGCCAAAAAGGCATAAACATATCAAATGATTACCCAATCCCCTCCCTCCAATTACCCCACCCCAGTGTCCAATCTGCAACTCCCTAAGGTGTCATGTGGGGTGCATCTTAAAAAAGCCTCACCAGAAAGAAGAGTCCATACAAACTTGATTAAGAAGATAATTAGAGGACTGATGCCACAAATGGCAGAAGACATGAGACTGTTTCGCGACTGGAAAGATACAGGCTGATAGATGAAAGTGTTTGATTTAAAACTAGTTGGACTTAGTGAAATTTAGTGATGATAGATATGGTTAAGTAAAAAATTGAAAATGATAATAATGTA